AAAGGGCCTCTCTGGTCTCTAATGAGCAGGAAATGTGATATTACTTGGTTAAAAAACAGATGGCACAGAGACAGCCCTCCTTGCTTAACTCGCCGAAACAAGTTCGTTCTAGATGTTCTCTCCCACGTAGAGCTCCAGATGAACGTTGCGAATGTCCTGTGGACTTTGTGAATGGTTTTACGCGTACAACTAAGTACTTGCAAAAGGTACATAATTTTAGCAGCCAGAAACACGTTGCATACAGCTGACCGAGAGAAAATTGATAAGCCACGACCACCCCATCCTTCGGCGGTCGCGCGCAGTTCTTCAGCCTTTCCCAGCCAAAACACTTCACTGTCTTGATACCTGTCCAATGGTACCCTTAAGTAACGACTAGGCGTCGTGAGCCACTGAATATTTCAAAAGGAACTGGGCGTAAGGTCCCAATTACCATGCCATAAACCAATGCTTTTCTCTTCGTTCATTAAACTTCCACTCGTGTCACAAAACTTTTGAGTGATATTTAATAACGAAGTGACGCTCTCTCTATCAACTGCAAAAAAGGCAATATCATCAGCGTATGCCAAAACACGCACTTCACAAGACTGCAACCTGAAACCATTAATCCCTGCATGGTTCATCACTTTCTGACACAATGGTTCCAAAAATAGAGCGAAGAGCAAAGGACTTAAAGGACACTCCTGGCGCACGGAGGAAAGTACTTGTATGCGCTGTGAGAGTTCTCCATTTACAATTAAATTTGTGGTTGAACTTTTGTATACCAATCTAATACCTTTACATATGATCGCACCAAGACCAACGTACTCAGCTAGCATGAAGAGTATATTGTGTGGAACCATGTCGAAAGCCTTGGCTAGATCAATTTGCAACATAGCTACTTTTAGAAGTGCAGTGTCACAATACTCCAAAATGCTCCTGGCAACATGATTATTCGTGAATATGCTCCTACGCTTGATGCCGCAAGTCTGATGTGACCCGACCAACTTGTATATAACACCTTGCAACCTCCTAGCCAGAACATTCATAAACACCTTATAATCTACGTTTGTTAGCGTAATTGGCCTGTATCCTGTCACTTTGCGTAAAACATGTTTCTCTTTCCCTTTAGGAATCAGCACTGTGTGTGCCCGATTAAACGATGGGGGCAGAGTTCCGTGATCTAAAGACTCTGAAAAAACCTCATGCAATGCGGCGGCCATATCATACTTGAACGCCTTGTAAAAGGCGGCATTAATGCCATCTGGACCAGGTGATTTGCCTATGCCAAGATCATCGATAGCCTTCTCAATTTCCCCTATACTAATAGACATTTCCAATAAATTTGTGTCCTCAGCATTAAGTGTCGGCATTTCTATCAAGAACTCATCTACAAAACCCGGCTCCTTTGGCTCGCGACAAGCAAACAAGTCCTGATAATAGTTTTCAAAAGCTTTCATATTATCTTTATGTTCTTTCAATATTTTACCATTCCATTCTATCTCTAGTATGTCGTGAGCTCACGCATATGCCTTTTCATCTGACAAGGCTCGCTTTGTCGGGGCTTCACCCACGAGGTATCTCTCAGCTCTTGCTCGTATAATTGCGCCTTTATATTTATCTTCTTCAAGACATTCAATCTTGTTTTTGACAACCTGCAGATGATGTGTGAATAAGCCCGGGTTTTCTGCTTCAATATTCACCAAATCATTCAGCTCTGCCCGTAGCTCACGTTCCTGTTTTCAAGCTTGATACTTCATGTAGCAACCACACTCTATTGCGTTCATTTTTATCTTTTGCTTAAGTAATTCCCATCTTTTCGTGGCACTCCTTTCTGCGTTTTTGAAAAATTCTTGATTTCCTTCTTTGTCTTATCTACAAACACTTCGTGCATAATTATCTTAGTATTCAGTTTCCATGTTTCCCATACAACCTTCTTTTTGCACTTTCTACCTATGTCAAACGACACTAAGCAACGATCACTGAAGGAAACAGCATAAACGTCATAGTTCTGACATAAAGGTACTATCTCAGAACAAACATATGCTCGATCTAGTCGTGCGTGACTCGAACCTTGAAAATGGGTAAAGTGTTGGCGACTGCCACCCATCGCAAACAGAGCTACGTCATGTAAAAAGTACTTATTAAGGCTGTCTCTAAGCAAACCAACGCTTTCATCCCCTAATTTTGCAGTATACGTGCAATCTTCTTGGGTCAAAACACAATTGAAGTCACCCAACAGAATCACACATTTCTGACATTCAAAGTACGCTTGCATTTTCCGAAAAAACCAACATCTGTCTCTCGAATTTGTAGGTGCGTATACAGAGATAACTCTAAATTTAGTGTTCCCGTAACAAAAGTCACACAAAACAAAACGCCCATGTAGGCAACTTTTGACCTCTTCCACTACAATACCAAGAGAGTTCTTGACAAAAATAATACATCCGGCTGATGCTCCCACTGCATAGCTCAAACACGCATTGTACCGCAATGAAAATTCTGCTACCAAGCTATCAGTCGCGTCCTCAGTACTAACTTTAGTCTCCTGGACCGCGAGCAAGTCAAGGTCTTTTTCTTGCATCAAGCGTTTCAACTGATACTGTTTGCGACGCGTTGCTAGACCACGTACATTCAGCGTACCAATGCGTAAAGGCGCAGTCATGCTAGCCATGTTGATGACAAAGATGAAAACTACAATGCTGCACTTACCGTGTCTCGTATACCGTGCAGTGGGAAAACCAGGGTCTTACGCGTCTCGATCCTGTCCCCGGCGACGATGACGCCGACTGGGTTGAGGGCATATTTTTTACTCTTAGCACCCGTGACGCGGCGCCACAGACGCTCCGGGCGTTTCACTCGGTAACGCTTGCCGCGTCCCGTGGTCACTTCCGGAGACTCTGTGCTGGCTTCTGGCGTAGCGATCTCGCCACTGGTAACCATGTCTTCCTCCATCGATTCTCGAATGTCCTGCTGGCCGCCTGTTGCGACCAACTGCTCGGATTCTTTCGTTGAGTCTTCACCGTCTTGCGTTGTCGCGTCGGCTGTCTCTTCTCCAGTTGCCTGAACCATGGCGTCGGGTCCCACGGCGTTGCTTCGTAACGCTGGCATAACTCCTTCGTAACGCTGGCATAACTCCTGACGCAATCTTGACTTTCATGTCCAAACGCTCGGCATACACCGCAGCGGGGAGTCTGGCAGTCTCGTCGTATATTTTCTTGCATGTGACACCTTATTCAAAGCGGTGCCCGACCCGGGGCCACAAGAAGGACGGTGCCCCCTCTAATATTAAAAAGGTGCGGCAAGTCTTCTAGCACCACGCCTTCCTTCAGTTTCATTCGCACCACCCTCGTCGTCGATATCGCGTGTTCAAAGCCCGCGATGGTCCAGTTGTCGTTGGAAACCTCCAGAACTTTACCAAACTCACCTAACGCTTGTCGAATGCTCTCATTCGAGACCGCAAAGTCAACCCAGTGGATTTTCACGGTTACATCATGTTGGATAGGGTCGATGATAGCACAGAAGCCACCCTTGACTCGGAGTCCACCTGTTTTGAGTAATGCATCTTTGTCATCATTGCTTCGCATCTTCACCAGTCAGATGTGATTCATCTGGAAGGCTCCAATGCCAGTGATCGCCTTGATGAGTCCCACTTCTTCCAATGGGACCCGAAAGTCTTCCAACCGGTATGGTCTTTTTTCCAAATCCCCGTGCATACACACACTCTTCCATACATTGCCTACATTGCCGTCACCCGACGGCAATGTAGGCAACAAAAACCGGTAATCCGATGGTGCAGAAGGGAACCTAACAACGCGGCCAGCAGCGGCTGCCGAAGCACCTCGCACGGAGCGAGCCAGCACACGTCCGCCTTCTACCGAAGCCGAAAGTGGAGTCGACAATGTTGCACCTACATTGGGTCTTTTTTTAAAGGAGTTCCAAGACGTGGCGTGGATCTCTGCTAGACTGCACGATTTCCACGTAGAATGCTTGCGTTTCATTCCCGGCGAAACCGTCACATATATTCTTTGCAATCATTTTGTTGGTTTTGCTTAACGCCCTCGCATTTAAGTTAACAGTGTCTCGCTGTTCCTCAGTAGATATAAACTGTCCAACACCTGAGACACATAGCCGGATGCCGCGGCTCGTGGTGTACGGGTATGTGTGCCACATGTCTGGAGAAATTGGTTTGACGTAAAACACAGACGAGATTTTTGCATTGTTCATGTCACGACCAGCAACTAATTTTAGTCTACCCTAAGTTAAGAAGGTGAGCATCAGAGAACCAAATGTAGGGGACAGATAGATAGATAGATAGATAGATAGATAGATAGATAGATAGATAGATAGATAGATAGATAGATAGATAGATAGATAGATAGATAGATAGATAGATAGATAGATAGATAGATAGATAGATAGATAGATAGATAGATATGCTGAAAATGTCTGCAGTGTGCGTAGAATAGATTCGCACTTGAAATGGTCATAAAGAAACGGCACTACGGCTCGGTCCAGGCCATTCAAAAGGCCGTAACAAGGGGGATAAAGATCATTACACTTTCTGCATTTCAAGGAGACGTCAGTGATTGACAGAGTTGCGGCAAACACTGTGTTGACGGTGAAGAGGCTTCCATGCTTTTAAGACTAATAAGTTGTTGTGCCACAGTTGTGAATAAAATTCATTCGCACTACTTCCAAGACAGACTCTACACAATATGTTTCGCAGTCTACAGAAATAACTAATACTGAGCGGAAGAACAGAAGAACTATATCGTACGATGTCACAGAAATCTGAAAAAATCGGAGCGTTTCGCTTGCTACTTCCAACCAAAGTGCGAACTGTATGAGCGGCGGATCATTGTTTTGGTCGTGCTTTTGTGTGTTTATCTGCTCTTTTAAGTCATTTCTTTTGTTCTTCTGCTTGTGTGCTGTTTTCAATTCATTACGAGTGAATACGTGATGTGTTCTGTTCTTTTCTTGTAAATGTGTGGTTCGTCTAAGTAAATTTCAACCATACATAATTACTGTGAGAACGTGCTTAAAATTTTTTTGCTTGCGTTTTATTTCACAAATGACATTCGGAGCGAACATGTTGGCTTGAGGGCACGTTTGAGCACTGGTGGACAATGCTATCACTGCAAGATGGAAGATTTGGAATGGAATCATCCACTGCTCAATGTGGTCAATCTCAATCCAAGTTTCTCACACGCTAGATATTGGTGAAGCCTATCAGCTCATAGGGCTTGCTTTTTGATACAGGTCCTGCAAAAAAAAGGAAAGAAAATGAGCAATTGTTGCCAGTTTCTTGGTATGGACAAAAGCTGATTCATATTTTCTTTTTGGGAGAAATAGTGGCAGTAGCCATTTAACGACAGTGTTAACAAATGTGACAACTTAAAGCCGTGACTCGACATTAATGGCTCCCATTAATATAATGTCTCTAATAAATGCACCTGGTGGCACTCAGTGAGTGCTCCGCCCGCATGTTCAAGTCAGGATACACTTCCACAACTTTAAGAATCAAGTCAAGGCTTGACTTTAGAGACGAAAATCGTTGAGCATTGTCGCTTCAAATGAAACTATGCAACAGGATTGACACTGGACTACTTGCGAGCAAATACCTCGATGAACGAGGCCTCTTATCAGTTCCCCTTGACGTTCCCGAGTCTCAATCAGCGGTAATAAGAGTCATCCGTGTCAGGGCCAACGTCGGGCTTGTGTCCCAGGAGAGCCGCGGCAGCAGCCCTGGCCGCCGTTACGTGGGCAGGGTCGGCTGAGTCAGTGGACTGCGACCCAGGGTGGCTTCCGTACACAGCCTGACTGCTGCCAGATGAGTGCCGCCCAAGGGGTGAAGGAACCGCGACTTCATACTGGAACCGGTCAGCTGGCGGTATGTTCCGGTATCCGCCACCTTCACTTGGATCCTGGCCTCCGCCTAGGTAGCCCGCAGTCCTGAAAAGATACGAATCATGGGAATTAGATTGTTATATGTGTACGACCCTGACTACCTTTCCGGAACCTCTGAGATCAGATAAAAGAAAGTTCACCTACGCGATGTGCGACGCCCTGTTGGTGCTGAGTGCCAGGTTTGTTGCGTACTTAGGATTCATTGTAAGCACCACGCGTAAGGGGAACACAACATACTTGGGAGTAAGGAAACCATACCTAGGCTGTTTCAGGTATCAGCTCATTCTAAAAATTGTATATCTTTCTGTAAAGCAACAAGTCCCGTTACTCTCGATAATGACCAGTGATCTAATCTGCACTTTTAAAAAATACCGAGTTGAGGGAACGGCCAAGCACCCCGCAAATGAAAATTTCTGTCCGATGCAAAATCAGCGCTCCAAGCCATCAATTCTTGCTAAACTTAAGCAGCGACCAGCATGACGAATAATGCTACGAATCGTCCAAGGATTCGTCGTAACGCACAGAAGTGGTCACTTGATTACACTCAATTGGGCTCCTGGAAGTTGTGGCTTGGTTAGCAACGAACAAGCCAATAACGAAGCAAGATCGGCTGCTTACAACACCCCCATGTATATTAAAGTACCGTGTTCGCGAAGTAACGTCAACACATTGTTGAAATTGCTCATGCGCTGCTACTTTTTGGTCGCAACCAGATCCTCGAAACAGGCGTCTGCGGGAAAGAGACCCAAATCTAATTTTTCTTCTTCTGTCTATAATCAGCCGAAGACGTGCTAGTGTGCTGCGCCGGATTCACCTGGGCGTGACCTTCACTTAACACTACGGCCACCTAATGGGCCATGCGGACAGCCCGAATTGTGAGCGCTGCCAAGTGTACGAAACTTTATTCCATATATTTTGTGACTGCCCATTATACGTGACGCAAAGGAGGATGCCCACTTCAACGTTGGCAAGCATCGGATGAACACCAAGTCGAGAAAGCTACATTTTGACATCAGTGTGCGACCAAACAGTGTCAAAAACTTCTACAAGGGCTGTTTTATACTTTATCAAACGTACTGAATTAGACACTAAGCTGTAGGGTAATTTATATGCCAAGTGGCTACTGTACATACCCACCACTCTTTCTTGACCTCATCATTATCCTTCATCAATCTTTCTTTCCCCCTTGCCTTATCACCTGTCTAGAGAAGCAGGCTGGAACGCACTAGCTGAGGCTAACCTTCCTGCCTTCTAATAAATTATCACACTCTCTCTCTTTCTGTCAATTAAAAAAATCAGCAAGGCGAAAAGAAGGCAAATTGTAAACCAGTAGAACGTTAGAAAGTAAATAGAATAGATTAGGCAAAACGACGACGAAGAATAGATCTTATATATCAGTTACTATTATGCGCTCATTGATAGATAGTATATGACTAAGAGAGCAAAAAAATTGCTGAATTGTCGACGCAGATATGCAAGAGAAAATTTTTTTAGGAAATCGCAGTACCAAAGAAAATCATGAGGACGCAGTTGACAAAAAAAAGCGGAAGCATCCCATAACCTAAATGAAATTAAGGACATGCAAAATAAAATATACAAGTGACGAAAGATGATTTATATTTGTGCTAATGTCGAGAAGTTGAAACATAACTTAGGAAACTTGCGGCACTTTAGGGTCATGTCACAATGCTCTAAATTACCAATATGTTGCAAAATTGCACGACGTTCCACAGACAAAGTGAGGGGAAAATTATGGCACTGTGTCTTTGTCCACTCGCTTGTCTTTCTTCGAAGGTTTGGGCTGAATAGTCTTATGAATGTAAAAATAAAGATCAAGTTTGAAACCATCACCTTCCTTTCTGTATCATAGAAAATATTCAGGAATGTAATTGTCATATTATTAGAGAAACGCGTCTCTTCAACCCACAGAGCATGCAGTTCAAGCAAGGTGAGTTGTACGACAAATCGCAGCTATATGTTCAATGAGATAACTTACACATCGGCTGTATGCAACCCATATTTCACTCTTTGAGGACGACGAAAAGGAGTCAAACTCATTAGCTGTATCAGCAAATATAGAAGCATCACTTCAACTAGCTGTATCCCACACGTATAATAGTGAGCTAGAGCAATCATCGGGATTTTCACTAGGTTAGGTAATGGTTTTTAAAAAATATCTTATGAACTCCTTTATCGCACTGCGTTGCTAGCAAATTCATGAAGAAAAGGAGTGTAAATTTAAGTGCCCTGTTTGCTAAATCTAATATTTATAAAAACAACATAAAAAGATGCCAAGGAAAGTATAGGGGATGATAAAGGAATTGTAATGCAAATGTGAACAAAGAAAAGGGACTAAAAAGATGACTCGCCACTGGAAACTCAAAAGGAATCCCCAGATATAAAAGCTTTTTGATGGATAACTCGCCCTGGTTGGAAAATCTAACCCCTGCCCAGCGAATCCCCGATGGAGCCGCTCGAAACGTTAAGCTAAACAGAATTCTCAGATGTGGTAACACGTGGGAGGCGAAGTCGACTGCTCCAAGCCCCTAGACATGCACGGTGTGTGCAAATCAGCACTCTCCTCGGTGCAGCTTGTATTCAGTGCTCTAGTTGTTAAAAGCGGCGGTACTGTCATATGTCTCAAGCCCGATTTCGGGGCCCTTGAGAGATGAGCCGCGAAAAGTCGGTGACTGCTTCAGTTGCTGGAGCAAGGAGCAAAATCGGCTGAGGTGGCACAAGAACTGTCACTTTCTCTGCAGTCAGTGGCGTACCAACTCTTTCGCGAGGGGGAGGGGCAAGTCTACTTCACTCGTGAGCTAATATATATATATATATATATATATATATATATATATATATATATATATATATATATATATATATATATATAGGTGGAGAGGCTCAGCACCCCCCCCCCCCCGGCTGGTACGCCTATGTCTGCAGTCGAGGTCGGGGTCATGGTTTCTGGGTATTATCTGGTAGAGGCCTGTACTCTGGCGATAGAGCTTGTTTTCAGCGGCTTGCTATCAGCTTCGGCTAGGCGTCGATGTGTTCTTTTCGACGTGCATGGGATTCACCGCTAGACAGAGGCGTCCGGTACATGAAGCAGCACGTCCACCAGATACCGCGGGTTGGTGACGCTGACGTAAGCAGAGATGGTGCGTTAAAAATCAAACTTTATATAGGGCTCAACTTGCGGTCGGTAAAATGGAAACTCAGCGCGCATTGCTTGTCAGCAACGTCAATTAAACTGATTATCGCTGGGTCGCACCGTCTTTTATATATGACGCATAGAACACCAAGCCTTATTATTGGTGGTCACGTAAGCTCTGGAATAGGCATGACTGTTCGCGTCATGCGCCATATATTAACATAACAACCTACTACAATCATGAAGCTTCTCGAAATAAGAGGTGCCATCTGCGCAGAGCATGGCTGACAGTCTTTGTGGGTTTAAATTAAGGCCATCAAAATAGCATGCGTAATAGTGTCTTACTAATTGCACGCAGCGGGCCAGGCCATGTCAAATTACAGGTGCATTGTTGAGAGGCAGAAAGACTGCGGAATGTGTCAGAGAATTAGAAAGTATAGCTGATATCGAACTTGCATTAACAGGAAAGTTTGGATAGCTCACTGTCGGTGAGCTATAAAGCAACATATTGTATACCAAGGGTATACGCTAAACTCCGGAATCAAGTGTTATATCGGGCATTTTGTTTAAAAAACGGGGCTGATTCATCTGTCTATTGACGTACCACGAAAGCGAGACGTGTCTTCACAAAAGGAGTTTAGTGCTTGGTGTACATTTTTCTCGCCGCAAGGGCGAATGAATCAATGCTACGTCAACAAAGTTTATTGTCACCCGAAGAACGGCAAGTATTTTGAAACTTAAAGCACACACCTCAAGCAGGTAGTATGCATAAAATGAGCATACACACCACCGAAGATCCCGCAACCTTACGAGTCAACTGCAAGCGAATACGGCAGGCGACGGGAGCGGCATTCCGATGAAGGCGGAAATGTTTTAGGCCCGTGTGTTCAGATTTGTGTGCACGTTAAAGATCCCGGGTGGTCGAAATTTCTGGAGCCCTGCACTACGGCGTCTCTCGTAATCATATGGCGGTTTTGGGACGTTAAGCCCCACATATAAATCAATGAAATCAAGGAAGCGGCATTGCAGAGAGAGCAGCGTCAACATGGCTATTGCGGGAACGCGTTCGCTTGGGCAGGCGCATGCTTTCGGCGGGAGTTGCTCGAACGGCACTTGAGCTTCGGCTGCGTTGTCAGCAACCAGCCGAAGCTCAAGTGCCGTTCTAACAGGGTAACTATCTAGCCTATAATAATGAAGTGTGCTCCTTCTTAGAATTTTCTTACCGGGTTATCTTGGGCGCTCAGTAGAAACTATTTGGTGTTTGTTCCGTAATAAAGTGTCTGAACTAATTCATCTCCATATCCCTCTTCGCCGGGTGTACTCCAATAATCAAGCTCCATGGTATACCAAATACTTAAACCGTCTTTCTAACAGGAAAAAAAGACTTGTTAGAATCGCTAAGTATTCACTTAAACCGGCCAACTGGACAAAGTACAAGACAGCCTCTTTAGCATAATCGCGAGCGCTAAAGGCCACTAAATCCTCGTTCTTCAATGTAACCCTGCAGAACATCCGGAAGACTAACCCTAAACGTTTCTGGAGTATAATGAAACCACTTAGCACCAGTAAAGTATCATTGCTTACACCCACTGGTGATTCTGTTCCGGACCATTTTTGTTCTACTGTGCTAAACGATACATTCATTAAGTCGTTTTCTTCCTCTAATTATACCCAACGTTTTGAGCTTCAGTCGTACAATTATTTTGCGATGGATTCCATAACGGTTGACCCTCATGGAATCGTCACAATTATCGACAACCTGAAACTAACGTCTTCTCACGGTATTGATTGAATTAATAGTAAATTTTTAAAGAACACCAAAGAATACAGTTCCATCATCCTGAAATGCATATTTTCACAATCGTATCATGATGGTGTACTACCTGAAGACTGG